GCTTGGCTTTCATGCCACTACGTTTTCGAATTAAAACATCTAGTTGGGCCATTATTAAATTAAAAGAAAAAAATTATCGATAAGTTATACGACGAAGAAAAAAAAAATATAATGTGGGTACTTCACTACTTGGTAATTAGTCGCTCGTAAATGCGTAAGCGTGAAATTGAACAATTATATTAATACAATAGGAAGCCAATTGAAGAGGATTTAGAAGGGAAACGATATGGAACGAACTCACTTTATCTTCCCTTGTCCACACAGTACTTCCTTTGTCTTGATGTTCGATGTTTGATTCCGACGACCGTTGAGCCGATGTCGCGGTAATTTTGCTGCACTCCGTTCGCTCCAAACGTATTGAATTAGCGGACTGTATTTTTGTTGATTCTTGAGGCTCGATGGACCATTTGTTTAGGCCAAACACAAGTATTTGGTTGTAATGGTTTAATAAGCGATAAATACAGAGTTACAAATAGACAAATTGATCGTTGCGCGTATGCATCGGCGGTCGAAAGCGGAAGTCCAAGTGACGTTTCGTGCCACCGCACGTCGGTTCGCACCGGTAGTGGTGTTGCCCGCACCTCAGGCGCGAACAGATATATTTACAAACATCTATCCATCCATCCATCTAAACATTTATAATATTAGTTTAATTACGACTGAATTCTTTAAATTGAAATTAAAAATGTCGGTAAGTTTTAGTGTGCGTATAACATAGTTTTTATATTGAGGAAAAGTTATATTGAGGTATATATTGTGTTCACTGAAAACATAAAAACATAATATAGATTGAAATGAGATAAGCATACCTAGTTTTTTTTGTATTTAAGTGTACATTTAGATGTGACGTCATCGTCAGCGAAGCGTGATGGCTGTCAAGTTCATAAGCATTTTCATATGTAAGGTTTAATGAGTACATAAGTAACATAATTTTCACATATTTTTGATAAATTTTGTATATGCAATATTAAAAACAAAGTTAGACTTTGACTCTTTATTATGTATTCAGAGTTGAATTGTTTACAAACGTTCGGAATTTAAATTAGTTAAAAGGTAAAAGAGCATCGATGGCTCAACGGTTAAGATGACTTGCATTGCAGGTCCTGAATTCAAATCCCGCTATATACCAATGTGTTTTTCATTAAGCATATATACATTTATCCAACGTTCTTACGGTGAAGGAAAATGTAATGCAACCTGCAAATATCATAGCAAAAATTCAAAGATACGTGTGAAGTCGCACTGGGCAAGCGTGGTTGACTATGGATAAGTCATCCTTAACTTGGATAGGCTCCGAGCCTCTCAATGGGGACCTGACGATGATGAAATGGTAACCAACAAATGTCTATAAAATTTACTTATGTCAGTTTAAAAATTTAAAAAAAAAATTGAACCCAACTGCAAGCAATACCTTTTGATAAAGTATCGAAGTTATGAGGTAAAATATTTAAAAAAAAATACAAATAAACTGATAACCTCCTTCGTGACTTCGGTTTAAAAGACAAAAACTCAGAGAACATGACAATATTTAATGTAAAATTGTCTTTTTGTATATATCATCTTTACATTTCCTGAAATCGTATTCAAGGTTTCTTTTTAAAGAACGTGATTTTTATACATACGTTGTTTACATAGACTACGAAAGTAAATAAATAAAGCTATATATCACATTGTGACATACACGTGATATATAGTGCACGATTTCGTGTGTAAACCAAACTTTAAAATAAATTTTAAATGCAGTTATCGTATACACGTTTCTAGAAATATATTATTAATATATGTAGGTATATTACATATTATAATATCTGTTATTATTATAAACTATAGATTTTTTTAATTTATATAAGCAGTTTAACGCGACTTCGTCTCAGCGGAATGAACAAAAATTTTCAATCACAAGTCACAATTTTCGTTCCCATACTCCTCCGAAACGGCTTGACCGATTCTCATGAAATTTTGTGATCATATTGAGTAGGTCTGAGAATCGGCCAACATCTATTTTTAATCCCGCACGGACGGAGTCGCGGGCGACAGCTAGTTAACATTATAAATGCGAATGTTTAGATGGATTGTTTGAAGGTATCTCCAGAACGGCTGAACGGATCTAAATGAAATTTGACATATTTTTATAAACATAGTCAGAAGGAACATAGAGGCTACTAATAAACTTTTTTTTTTAATTCAGCCCGGACAGTTGTGGGCTAGGCGACATCTAGTCTAATAATAAATATAGAATGTGTCACCCGAGGACAATGTCGCTTCCCAAAAGTAAACAGTTTTTAGTAGTAATTTCGGAGCGTATTAAACGCAAACAAATAACAAAACAGGCTAAAGTTAGCGTGGGTTTCCAATACCAAAATCTGTGTATAAAACATATCGTCATCCCCGTCATTATCTTTGAATTAATAGAGATAATAATACATTTTAAACTGAATTTTTTGGATTCAGAAACCCACGGTTAGTTACATATAATGCGACGATGTTAACTTTAGTTTAACTCTTATGGAATATCTTGCGTAAGATGGTAAAGCAGTGGATGTTATGGTCGTAACGTGATGTAGCCATTACGACCTACTTTAATAGTAAGCTAAAGAAACTATATTAATGATAGTTATGTATTTCCGTATATTACATTGATAAATCGATAAATAAACATACACAAATACTGGAACACAGAATGCAACCTAATGGTTAAGGATATCTGATATTCCACGACACACTAAATATTTTAGTCAAAAAATTCTCAAAGTTATACAGCACTTTCTGGATGAGCCGTTCTTTTTCTTCTTCTAATGCCTTTCCATTACTGGAGGTTGGCCGTCAGCTCAGTGAACCCTTTCCTATCTTGTGCCAAGCGAAAAAGTTGTTCAACGATGGCAATATTGATCCATTCCCGGATGTTTCTCCGCCACGACTTTCTCCTCCTTCCAACTCGTTTTCTATATAATCAATTTTTTTATTGTTTTTTTTTTTATTTTCACTATTTTTTTTGGATGATGTTAAGTGCCCTCTTGTTTCAGCCCTAGCTTGTAGGCGAACTAGATAAACTGCATTCGCTTCGCAGCGATTCCATAACGAACTTCAAAAATGTATAGAACTGACAATACCTTTCGTCAAGTCACGTCATTGTTGCACGTCAGTTCCATATATTTTTGAATTTCGAATTCAAAAACATAATTTAAATTCGTTATGGAATCGTTTCGTAGGGAATGCAATCTGTCTACTCCCTTCGCTTTATTCGTGGAATGACGATTTAGCCTTTCTATACGTTGATAAATCTTTTCATCTTTACCATTTCTCTTCCGGCTGAAGAGTTTCTATTGAACATCTGTTCATTACCATATTAGACAATGTGCGTTTGAATATTTATCATACTAAATCAGATTTACATACAAATGACAATCATTCAATGCTAAGTAACGGTGCATGGGATAAGTTACGATAAGATGCGACTTCATTTTTAAATTTGTTGTGCTTATTTAAATGATTTTTTCTATAATTATACATGACACATTTAGTCACTTTATATCTTTGTTTCTAATTCGTTGTAATAATACTTAATAGTATTTATTAAGTTTGGCTTGAAGTATATTTAAAACTAAACTCTCAAGGTTACTAAAT